AACGTCATTTAAAATATAAGGCCGTTCATAAATAATGATACAATTTGAAAGGGGCCGGGGCTAATCACAAATTACGTCTCCATGGTAACTGAAATAAACACGAGTGTTCACCGGTTGATCCAGCTCTATTCACTTTGTCGGAAGCAAGTAATGCGAGAATACGACATCATTTAGTGCAGATATTTTTGACACGATAAATGAAAAGATCACACCGTTTGTCAGATATCTCTAGCTTTTTAAATGAAGATATGGCTACCAACAATCAATACGAAACTAACGATTTTGAATTGGCTCACTACTTGACTAGCCTATTGGTCCCAAGCAAACGATTAACGTACCCCATTCTAGCCGGAATTCTACTACTCCACAATGTTTGTTTTGATTCGCTATGAAAGTTTGACAGATAAAATGAGGATGTAGTGGATTTTCCTATGTTTTGAGGGGTGAATCGATTAGCTTGGGACCGAAGAGAGTACCAGAGCTGAGCCAAAAAGTTGAGCACGTTATTTCGGGACCTTCTAGTCTTATAGCGAATTTGTTTATTATTCAGTTCCAACCTGGATCGGGTATCAAGATTTGATCTGTTTGTTTTCTGGCAAACTTCAGTTTGATCGTTTGTTTTTTAAACCTACCTCAGGTAGAGGTTCGCACTGACAAAAATTTCGGTTTCACACTGGGTTGAAACTGGTTCCAACCCCGATAATAAACAAATTCGCTATTAGAGTTACCTCTATGTGGCTACTGCGTTGAAAGTTAAGCTCAAACGAAAATTGACTTCTTGTTTTCCAGTTTTTATTTAACGACATGATCTCGGCGTATAGGGGAAATGGCTCTAATATTGGCCTATGGATCTATGATTGGGCCCATCGCTAAAAATCTGCTATTTATCAATTTTATTTAGATGAACGTGCCATTGTGACAGTAGTAATGGATATATTTGGTCTCTATTGAAAAGTTAGTCAATTGATGAATTTATGTATGGGCCTATGAAGAATATGATGCACACTTTAAAAGTAAGATATACCTAGTAAAAGTTACTGTGCCAACTAAATCGTTATTGTAGCATTTTACAGCTTTCATGTGCAAGGCACACTAGGGAAGGTCGAGTGTATCCCGTTAGGCATAAATACGTTAGGCATACGGACGTTAGGCATAAAATACCTTGCTGCGGTGCAACTCTAGAAACCTGTTTCGAGCATGGTAAACAATGAAGTCCATTATTTATCATATCATAAGTGACGTAACTACATATTTGCTCAGATCTAAGGTTAGTAGCGATAGTGGAAGTAATCTGGCAATGAAAACTCAGCATAGTGTTTTACTAATCTTGAAATCAATCGCATCTAGAAATAATAAAGCACACATTTGTTGTAATATATTCTTACACACATATGGCAAATCCGGAGAACTTTGAGATTTGGGCGTAATTGCTTTTGTAAACAAATATGTCAATCGCTGATTTCTCGTGGATAAAAGAAAAACATCGTGAACAAACTATATCAAATGATAGAGGAACCATTCATCTACCTGTTTGTGTTGCTAGTTTTTGGGATTGAGCTTTAATTCGCGAAAAATCGTCAAATGTTCTCCGGAAATGTCAAAGAAGAAAAGGTTTTCCTCAAAGAACAGCTCATGAAATAAAGAATGGTGAATTCTGTGGTTTTTCATTCAATAACAAAACACATACCTGCTGCTTCCAGGATTTACTCCCATACTTTTCGATACAACGATTATGATTTTGTTGTCATCAGAATGAATACTAGCAGAACCGTCTGCTGATGTGAGGGAGCGATACTTCCATGAACAGTGACGAGTTTCCGAAACAAACAAGGAACTGTGGCAAACGTACCGTCTGCAACCAAATACTTTGCCTGTCCAAGACGTCGCAAGTTTTCATGAGTCCCAAAAATTAAAGCTCTTTCATTATTGTCACCGATGTCAGCAATCAATAGACGGTCCCCATTATCATCCTTCTGGAATTCATCGGGTAGATTATGCCTAACGTCCATTATGCCTAACGTCCTTTATGCCTAACGTCCATTATGCCTACCGTACATTATGCCTAACGTCGTGTACCCGGGAAGGTCCATTAATTATGACCCGCAAATTTGGCCCCTTTGTCACAGTTTTTGTGTGGACCTTAATTTTTTTTTTTTTTGAATTGCTCGTCACAGTTTACACCCCCCACCCTCCATGTGTGACATAATGAATGGATGATCTCTTAGTTATTTTCTCATTTATGAACATAATAGATATAGTATATCTACAGTGATCATCGAATGGCTAACCAAGGATTTTCGGAATTTAAAGAACTTCTACTGATTTGATCTTCGTTAACCTTTGCAAAAACTTAGTTTAATGGTTAGTTATACTAACTCTTTGATTATTTTAGTGCCACAATACTTTTTAACGTGCTGAATCATGCTTCGAAAATGACCAATTTCCCATTTTTGTATTGTTTCTTTATTTCTGCGTCCGAAGTAGAAATCACATTTCGAAATGGGTTGTTTAATTTCGAAAAACTTTCCGGGTTTTATACATTATCTGAAAGAGCTTCGTTTACTGAGCACAACGATATTTGTAACGATCCCATAGATATTCGCCTCGATTTTTAAATCAAGATTTATAATTCTAATGTTTGACAATATGTAAATCTATTAGTTGACAGCTCGCACCCATACAAAGTCACACCAAGGGGCGCTAAGAGGGTAATTTATGCTAATGTACCAGCTTTTATTTTAAATAGTTCCAGTTTTCAAAAATTTATGAAATTTTTGATTTTGGTTCCCTTTGTTAATGCAGATTACGAATATGCATTAACCTCATAACCCCTAAACTACCCAATTGTTTCTCCTACGTACATGATGTAATTGGTTCTTTCTTAGGCTTATATTGTAGCATGATATGGTGGCTTCTAAAAATATATGATCTAGTATTCTTTTGTTTCTAAAAATTGAGAGGAACCATGCTTTGTAAAGTTTCCTTTTATTAATTTCCAATTGATATTATTTGTGTTCTATAGAACAGGTTTTTTTTCACTGACTTTTGTCAACTATAAGTGACAGTGATCAGGTTCTGGCACAATTTTCATAAGTGCAATCGTTTGCAATGGGTTTACAACTTTCCAACAAATTACTCACGAATATATTTTTTTTTTGTTGAATATTACCAGCTCACGTAAATATTTTCTATTGTAATTACCATATCAAACTGTTTACTATCTACCAAGCTTGAGATTATAACTAGTGTTGCATGACGTTCAACCTTCGGTTTGACTTAAACACTGACTTCAGCCAAATCAGAGTTCAGTCGTACGCCATGAGGTCACTAATCGGACGACGCGTGCCTTAATACGCATCCCGTCATGAAATCCGCTGAATGGATTCAACGGTAAAAATGAGTAATGTTGCGATTAATGCTAGCCGAACAAAAATTCCTTCCGCATTGATAAGAATTAATTTTCCGTCACAATCTGTCTATGTGTTCTTCGGGGTTAAGTAACATAACTTTCATTAGGGACTACTTCATACGTCTTGAACACTAAATTAGACTTCTCGTCTTTCTGGCTGAGCAAGATGAAAATCAAGGATGAATAGTTCTGTAATTAATGTGATAGTTTGAACACATAATTCTCCACTGTGTGAAAAACCTAGCGGAAAGAGAGAAACATGGTCTGAACAAATGTTTCACGATCCAAAATGCTTTTGACTCGAAACAAATAGACAGTATGAAAGAAATTAGGCAAAACAGTTCTTAAAAAAATATAAGCTTCCCCTTACAGACCCAAAAATAAAAAAAAAATTTCGGTACGTTTTTATTTTTCTAAAAATATATGACCCATATAAATTATCAAAAATCCAAGAAAATCAGTTTCTTTCTCAGATTTTTGTCAAAAACTACATGTAAAAATATTTTTTTCTATCTCATAATGAAAGAAGGACTCTCAGCAAAACCGAAAGATTGATGTTTTGTGGTTTTTTGAGTTCAACTTTATGCCATAATCTTCTATCTTCTTCTTCTATATCTATCTATATATATAAAAATGAATTTCTGTCTGTCTGTCTGTCTGTCGGTCTGTCTGACCCTTATAGACTCGGAAACTACTGAACCGATTGGCGTGAAAATGTGAATACAGTGGTTTTTGAGGCCGTGGAAGGTTCTTATGATGGTTCGAGACCCCTCCCCCTTCTGTAAGGGGGGGCTCCCATACAAATGAAACTGAAATTTCTGCATAACTCGAGAACTAATCAAGCAAATGGAACCAAATTAGGCATGTGGGGGTGAGTGTGGGGGTATAAGGAGATAATCATAGGGGGTAGCCCCTTAGATAATAGGGAGGGGGGCTACGTACAATATAGCATGCTTTTTTTTTAAATCGGCGCATAAACTCAAGCTAATATTGAATCCCGAGCAAGACCGGGCACACTCAGCTAGTGAGCTAGTGACTTATAAAAATGTTTTTGCACGTGTATTTTCTTTGAAAAATTGGAAAAAAAAAATATTATTTTAGATTTCTGATGCCTTTTTCCAATATAGAAAAATCAAAACGTAATTATTTTTTTCTGAACAGTGAACTTAATGATAAATTATAGCGAATACGCTGTGTCATTTAAGAAAAAGAATAAGATCACTAAATAATACTCAGCTGACATTGGAAACCAGACTGCCAATCAAATTAAATATGACTTCTCCATTCTTTTTTTCGAAATGAACTCATACTCTTACTGACAATGTAGCAATCCGACCGTTTCCTTCGTTACTGGGAATCCAACTTATTAGCACTGACACCATTCCGCCGCAGTTATCAGACAGATGTTTCAATCGTATAAACAAACCACACCGTAACGGATTGACCCTTTGCGGGGGTTACGGCTTACACTACATCGAGCGTACCCTTCCGTTATCTCTACGCTACGAGCTAGGGGCGTGAAGGGCAATGCTACTCATCGCTGTTATTACGCGTCTCGAGCGAAATCAGAAAACATCTCTCCACGATCGTCTCTTTCTTTATTAACAACTACTAATAAAAATATATAAACGAGTTTGTTACATTCGACAGGCTGCCGTCTAGCCAACGACGACCACGACGTTACTGGAACCTAGAGTTTCTCAGAACTGATCGCAACGGAGGACGATTCTCGAAGGGGTTTACCCTCGGCATCGGTGGACTGTAGTTGGGCGTCGGGAGATCCGCGTCGTTGGCAGGAGGTGGAGCAACAGGCGCAAATGATCGCAAGCCATTACTCGGTCCGATGTTACCGTTGGCCACGTTAAAGCTGTTCCGGTAGTTCAGCTCTTGAGCGACCTTTGCTGCGGCGGCATCCCGCCGGACTACTGTGTTGAAGTTGAAGTTCTTCGGTGGCGGAGGCGGGGGAATGGGTTTCGGTGGGTCCGGTCGGATCTCTTCCGGTTCCACGGAAGGTTGCCTGGTGAGAGGTTCGAAGGTTCGAGTTACGGACGTGTTCGGTTGCGGTGTGTACGTTCGAGGTTGACTCTGATACTCTTGATGTTGCTGTATAGGTCGTTCGATGATCACGGTTTCCCTCGGTTGTTCGGGAATGCGATCCAACGGCCGACGGTAGTTGATCGGTGGATTGTACGGTCGACGGATTTCTTCCTGGCCGTACTGTTGGGATGGACTGTAACTAAAGTTTTTATTCAGTATTGATTGGCAAATTACAAACGACAATATTTCCTACTCACTCCATGTCATAGGCATCGATTGGCGCCCGCCGCATTCCGCCGTTATCCGCAACGAAGGCTGCATTCGTCGTGCCGCTCTGCAAAAAGTAGTAATCAAACATTGAAACTGTATTATTTAAACGTCTCGCAAACAAACAATACCATATCGTCATTGTCAGTTTTACAGAAGGCACTCTTAGCTGACTGAAAACTGATTGATTGATGAGCCAGAGACGATCAGTGCACTTGTAACACGTCACGTTTAGTTATCACTTTCAGTCCATTAGCTGACAACTCCCCTAGTAGCTACTCACCTTCCGCCGCAGCTGGTTGAAGTCATAGATTGTAAAGGTCTGTGTGAACAAGTACACCGCCAATGTGACGTTCATGACCCATATGATGAATCCACGGAATGCCATCACCAACATTATACCGGAAGTGGTCACTGCCGTCACGAGGACCTCATCCGCTGGAGTCAGCGCTGGATAGGGAAGCAGAAAGAGGGCATGCTGAAAAGGGACAGAACGCATGGAATGAACAATCCACCTTAACTACACGTGCAAATACGAACAATAATGGTATCATAGTCCACGGCAAACTGAATCCCCAGAGCCAAGTCCAGGACGCTTATCGTGACGGTAAAGGCAATCCAAATGTACAGAAATATGTTTATGTAACGGACGTACTTTTTTCGAGCATCTGTAAAAGAAACGGTAGATTCGTGAATTGGCGGAAGATCGGTCTCCCTGATCCATACTTGTGAGTAGTGTGAGAGAGCTGATCGCCCAGAAGATGTGCAGAATTAGGTACACCCAAATCCATGCGTGCAGGTCGCCCGGTGAAAGAAGATTCAGTTCCCGAACGGCCGTCATGTCGATAAAGGGAATCTGTATTTCGCATGTTCCTGAAATCAAAATAAGTATCGTATTAGATAGGTATGCACTGAATATTCGGCCGGCATAGTATTCGGCCACTGTAGTATCAAGCTATGTGTTCTAGAAATTTAGCTAAAACGCGTTGTCGGCCACTTGTTAGCTGAAAAAGGCCAAATAACATTTTGGTGTAAACGCCGAATAGCCAAATAGTGCATCACTAGTAGTAGAGTATAGTGATTGGATATGACTTTATTGGGCTATGATGCACACTTAGAAAAATTCATGTAAATTTAGGTGCTCTGAGACTGACATATACGAGCGACAATTTTGACATAAATTTGAGTCATAACAGACGCGAAATATAGCTCAATCAAACGTACTTTTCATCGAGCAACGAACTTTTCAGTCTCGGAGCACTTAATATTACATGACATGTTTGGTTACGTCTCATCTGTTATGTCAAATATGGATTCCATCACGTGTAAAATTAGTTAATTCTAAGTGTGTGTGGGCAAGAAGTGGATTAGTCATAATCCTACCGATAAACCTACAATGATCCAAAATGGGTGAAAACAGATAGTACATCTGCGACCAAAGTGTATGACGTCGCATGAATACTGGCATAGTGACATGTCTACACACTTAGAAAAATTAATGTAAATTTAGGTGCTCTGAGACTGACATATACAAGTGTCAAGTTTTGAGTCATAATAGACGCGAAATTCAGCTCAATCAAACGTAGGGTTAACTACCCCATTTCCGGCCCCCATTTAAGCACATCCCGCACTTAGTCTTTCTTAATCTAGCGCAGTTTAGCACCAAATAGAAAGTTATTATTACTGATGGCTTTCAAATTTATTTACCTTTCCGTATGTACCTTAAGATTTGATAAAGACAAACCAATCGTTGAGATATCGTCAAAAGTCTAACACTGCTTCTTGACGCCAAACTCGGCCTACGGATTCTAAACTCATCTTAACGCATTGAAACGCCTTTGAAACGCTAATGAATTCACTTCGGCCTATCGGATGAAGATAAAACATGATTCGGTCGGAGCGCTTCTTTTGTTTTTGGGAATAATGGGTGCTAACCTTCATATCACGCGTTCTCATTGACTTCGTTCGGTAGCTTATTAATTATAGTATAGTACCAAACGCATAATTGACTTGTTAACTCTGAAATCATGGATTTATTTGAAGTTTTCTGCTCGATAGGCCAAAAATGGGCGATTAGGCCGAAGTAGTTCTCTACCCTACTTTTGAACTTTCCAGCTCAGAGTACTTAATTTTACATGACATGTTTGTTTACGTCTCTTTATGTCAAAGATGGATTCCGTCACGTGTAAGATTAGGTATTTCTAAGTATGCACATAGGTAGGGATAAACCACCCCCCGAGCATCTAGACAGAAAACCTTAGTTTCACGTACCCACTTGCAAATTGTAGATGTCTCCACCGTACGTAAACAATGGGGTCAGCCATCGCTGGTGGCACAACTTTTTTCACATCAGAAAACATGTTTTTGTTTCACTTCATGTGGACGTCGAAAGCAAACCAAGAATAAATTTTGAGTGAGACGTATGACTGGTGTTGCACATTTTAGATCATGATGCTGTCAACAACCATCGAAATATGTTGATCAAATTATGCATTGATTTCTATCTTAAATATCGACTGGAGCAGTACGCCAAAAACTTCGGTGGGATCAAGATTTCACTACGTAAAAAACTTACTAAACTGATACTGTTCCGTGGAGAATGAAGGAGAATTGATTACTGTATCGTTCAATAAGCGTCACAATAAAAAAAACTTTATTAATCCACCAGTGGTGTGATCTGGCACTTCTTATTTCTGTAAATTCTGATATTCTTTTTAAAAATTACCCCGACACATAGTTCGGAACCTGCACAGGTTTTTAAGCACTTTTTATGGTTATTTCCTATGTGGGCACTGGGCAGTAACCCGATTAAAGGGTTTCGTTTATTTCGGTTATGTGGTTGCCGACAAACATCACTTAGTTCCCGGATTTTAGGGTCTTGTTCCGTCCATATATCCGGAACCAGTTAATCGATTGAAAGTCTATTAATTAACATTCTATAGAATCATGGTAGCTTTCATTTGGTTGTTGTTGCGTTCAATTCGGTAGAGTGGTTACCGAGAAATACATATAAGAAAATTGTCTTACGCGCTCTCTCACACACATAAATAGACAGACATTTTCCGATCCCGTCATGCTGAGTCGATTGGAAGACTATTAGAAAAAATATCAATGTTTTTATAAAAAGTAAAAAAAAAAAACAAAAAACTTAAAAACGGGAAAAAAAGTTGATAAAAAAATAAGACCAATTGTAAATTTACTCCATCATTATTCGATTTGACAGAACCAGAGTACCAGAATTTTCGGGGTACATTAGCATTACACTGGAGCTGTTAAGTTGCTCCCGGGGTGGGATAAACCTACCTGACCTTAACTATTTTAAAAGTTAGGATCAGTGTTGGGAAAATATCAAAAAATCAAATCTCACCAACGCCCAAGATCACGCTTGATTTTCGTAGACAAAAATCAACAAGCAAACAACTGCGGTTGATTTTGCGAACTGTGATATCGCAGCTCGGAATATCAAGCTAAAAAAGTTGGAAGGGTTGTATACTAGATACGACCGCAGGGTTGGCGTTGGATAACGTCTGTTATGTGTTGTACTTAATAACTCTTTTGCGAAAGTTTGGTGGCCCTGAAAAGGGCCGTTTTGTTGGGCTGATGTTGTTGGGTTTGCTCTACTCTGTCGCCCTGGAGGAGCTTCGGAATGATGTTGGTAGTTCGAAGACAGACAGCATCTCCCCTTCCAGCGTTCCCACACCCCAGTACCCCAGGCTCTGCTGCCGCTGCTCTGCTGCCGTTGCTCTGCTTCCGCTGCTCTGGTACTGCAGCTCTGCTGCTCTGCTGCTGGGTCAACGATCGGATAGACAATGATGGAACGGGTGACCTTGTTGGACGCTTATATAGTAGAACAGAAAATATCAGAGGTGTCAGATACTCGCATCTGATGTCTTGGTTGGAGAATGTATAAGAATATAAAAAAATCAATCGATTTTCACCATCTTTAGACAATGGTTTACTTTTAACCATTTTTCAATAGTTTACAGAATGAAATCAATTGTTTTGAAACATTCAGCAAATTGCTAGAAATATTTTCAATCGATTGATGCCATTATCTCGTAAATCTATCGAGAGACGGTTGAGTTATTATCGTTCAAAATCTTTCAATTTCGTAACGCATCCAAAATGACTGTTTTCAATTTTGTACCCTCGTATGTTGCCGAAAGACGTTATCCAACGTCAAAAAATCACCAACTGCAAATCTCACCAAACTGTGGTGAGATTGAGTTTAATGATTTTTACTTTACACCCGAATGCAACCGAAACTTCCATAACGGCTTGCAGCAGTCCCTTCGCGTCTACCATCGGTGAAGATTGAAAAGAGATAGCTAACTATGCTTTCTCTTTCTAAGAAAACGATGTGCAATGGAATAATTTTTGTGTCGAGTCAACTCTCAGCTTGATTTTTGAACGTTGTGAATAGTCTCGCAATATCAAAGGAGCTTGTAAAATCAATATCAAGCATGATATTTTGTTCCAATATCACGCGTGATATTGAGAGTGTATGAAAGAGGAAAAATATGATTTGATTGACGATTTTGCCAACACTGGTTAGGACAGATAGCAAACATATCATTCTGAATTCTATAATTTGACTGATACGCCAAATTTAAAGACAGCAGTTTTGAGAAAAGGCTTTTCCGGTAATAGGCCAGAAACTTGTGTAAAGTTAAGTGGAAACGTCGCCGTTACGTAGCGCAAGCATCTCCTGGTTTCCTCTATAAATTTTGCACATTCGGCCAATTTGGCGCTAGTATCGATAAAGTATCTGTTGAAAATTGCCGCTTGGCGCTACCAGCACTTAGTGTCTAGTATACGTTGTGCAACGCCAGCGCCATCAGGTTGTCAAAGAGGGTTTTTAAGTGGGGAAGTCGCCGTTAGTGGCACTTAAGTCGAATAGGAATCTTTACACAAGTTTTTAGAGAAATTTTGTTCGAGCCTCCATGTCTGTTCTCTGTGATATCACTAAATTGACCCTAACATGTGAAAATTACCGGTGGGAACATAATTCATACATTTAAGTTCCGAAACCATCAGGAATTTTTTTTTAAACTTCAGGAATGTTCCGCGGTCATCAGGATAATCCAGAACTTTGGGGAATTTTAAACATTTAAAAAGTAATTTTCGAGAATTTCAACGCAGTTTTAAGATCATGATGTCTGTTTAAAGATCATGAGGCATGACCAGGGAGTTTTGGAACACTTCGGAACTATTTTCGCACATCGAAGGTACGTGAGCAAATCGGCGATCATCTCTTTAGCCAGTAGTGGCGGGGGGGGGGGGGTAAATGTAGGAGTTTGGTAAAGGAGATGATCAACCCGATTCGTGCCTTCCTTAAAATTGACCTTTGCTCGCTTTCTACTGCCGTACTCTAACGGAATTATCAACTCTATACTTTCATCTCCTTATATATCGTATAAAATGGCCACTTTAAGTCTGATATCTGACGTTAAGCATCTCCCCAACTATGTAAATTGTTTACGAAGAACGTCAAAAAAGATCGTTTTGAAGAGAAAGTCCCAATAGTTTCAGTACAGATCTATAGATTTCAGGATAACGTCTAGAGCATCTGTGAAGGTCTCTTCAGGCCAGTTCCATTGAATTTGGGAAAATTACAGGAACATTACAGAGGTTTCTGGGTAATTCTGAGAACTTCAGTACAGTTCTGTGAATTTCATAAAATGTGTGGGTACTTCAGAAAAGTTCCAACAACTGCTGGAAAGATAAGAGAACAGCAGGGCAGTTCTCTCAACTTCACGAAAATTTAAGGAACTTTAATGATGTTCCGAGAATTTCAGGTATGTTTCTTGTACAGACTGCGGAAACTTCTGGAAAAGTTTAGAGCTCTTCTAGGAAGCTTCCAGAACTTTAAA